ATTCAACGGGATTTTACATTCCTAAAATAAACCTCCGGTAGGGAGCCGTGTGAGTGTCACTTTAAAAGCAACTTTTAAAAAAACGACAACGAGTCGTCCTGTGGAGCCTTAGGGTGTGTCCACACCACAAAGTTATTTCAGAATAATGGCCGTTATTCCAAAATAACGAGGTGAGTGTCTACGCAGCAATTCCGTTATTTTGAAATAATTTCAAAATAACGGACGGATTATTCCAACTTCCGTAAACCTCATTCTATGAAGAATATCGCCTCTTCCCAAATAGCTATTTGGAAATAAGGCCTGTGTAGACGCTCCACTTCTGAAATTTCAAAATAGCCCCTCACCAGGCCGTTCTAAGTTATTCCTTTGGGGCTGTAAATCGACAGAGCACGTCTATATTAAGGAAGCCTGCCTCTGGCTCATTTTGAGGCTCCTGCAGTGTAGACGTGCTATTTTGAAATAAGCTATTTCGGAAGAACTATTCCCCAATAGCTTATTCTGAAATAACTGTGCCGTGTAGATGTAGCCTTAGAGACTAACAAATATAGAGGTCTAGCTAGCATCACGAGCTTTCGAGGGCACAACCCACTTCTTCAGAACCCCATTTTTTCTCCACTCAAGATGATCTCATCTGAGGAAGTGGGTCTTGCTCACAAAAGCTCCTGATACTAGATAGATATTTGTTAGTCTCCAAGGTGCCACAGGACTACTTGTTTTTCTAAAACCATGGTGTCCATCACGCTAGCCACTAGTGGCTATTTGGCCTGTTAAACGTGGCTAGTTCACTAAGCAGTGGCCACTATAGTCGAACTGGTCGGACACGATGGATCTAAAATAAACCTCATCATGTGCCAACAGTGTCCGTCTGCTATGTATATTGGACAAACTTCTCAGACACTTTGCCAAAGGATTAATGCCCACAAATCAGACATCAGACAGTTTCACAAAGAAAAACCAGTTTCTTGTCATTTCAACCAGACTGGGCATTGTCTCAATGACCTCACTACATGTATCTTACTCCAAAGAGACTTTAACACCAGACTACAAAGGGAAACCTCAGAACTGTCATTCATGCTTACATCTGACACTTTATGAATGGGCCTTAACAAAGATGCTAACTACCTTACCCATTACAAAGATAGCTTCACCAATTATCACCCCTAATATTATCTCATAGACACTAACCTCCCTCGCACCCCCGTGTTCTAAAATCTGATTTGTCAATTTTATACGTGTTCACTTTTTTTGATTGTATCCTTTGGTATATATGGTCATGCCAATTTTCTTCCACTATTTGATCTGAGGAAGTGGGTCTGGCCCATGAAAGCTCATCATCTAATAAACCATCTTGTTAGTCTTTAAAGTGCTGCATAGTCCTGTTTTTTGTTTTAAAATAAACCCGTTAGTTCTTAAGGTGCTAAGGAACTCCTCGGTGTTGCCAACATTGACAGTCTGTGTCGCTCTCTGCTGGATGTTGGAGAGAAGTTCACTCAAAATGAACAAGAATCTAGTAAAGGAGGGGACGCAACAGGATAGCGTACGACAAAAACCGGAACCCTCTTGGCTTGTTTGCTCCGCCAGTAACATGGCGAGAAGGTGATATTCAGTGCAACTGAAAACAGCAACAAATTCAGCATCAAGTAAATAACAAGATGACGATGCTTTATGCAGAAGAATATACCGACTGCCTGTGGCGTTCTCTGTGGTAGAGGGTCATTGGAGCACATGCATTGTCTGGATTAGAGGAAGTGAAGGATAAATCACGGCCAGCCAGCTGGCGATGCAAGTTGAAGTGACAAGTGTCGACTAGTATCATGTTTCAGGGCATAATCTGAAGAAGTCAGGCGGGGAAGTGAGTCGTGAACATACAGGGCCTGATCCTGAGGGTACTTGGGAGCTGCTCTGCGTCTGGCAGGCCTGGGCCGTGCACATGTTCATTGATATTTATCGATGTAAGCGGGGTCTCCATGAACCGTCCCCCGACAGCTACTTCCAGAGAGCAAGAGACTTCGGGAGCAAACTGTATTTACATCTACTCTGCGTAGGTCTCCAGTAGACAGGAGCTGTGGAGCTCCCACTGGTTACCTTTGGCTGATGGTGGGGTACAAGTCAGGTGGTCGAGGGACATCTGCCTAGAAGACATCGCCAGACCTCGGCAGTACCAGGAGGGTTGAGCTAGTGTGCCTGGGAAAAGTGCAGTCGGAAAAGTAACAAATACTCTCCCGGTGGGCTGTATTTCCCAACAGACAATCGACTCTACATTCTCAGTTACTCGGGGTCAATCTTCACTCATTCATTTATCCCCTTTCCTGCCCTCTCTCTTTAGAGCTTTTCAGGAATAATGAGCCTGAATAATTGGATGCGAATATCCAAACTCTATTGTTACATTTATTCACCTAAAACTGGGTTCTTGCTGATTATGTACTAGCTGTATCTTAGTGTATATATTTCTCCTCTCAGCCTGTGCCTGCCAGCGATGTACTAGCTGTATCTTAGTGTATATATTTCTCCTCTCAGCCTCTGTGCCTGCAAGCAGGGAAGTCTGGCCTTGCAAAGGGGTGCTGTGTAATTTTCCTAGGTTACTGAGTGGGGGCTGGAGCCGGTTCTGTGATGTATCGTTGTAAGGGAACCCTAATACTCCACCTGGCCCAGGCGGCTGCTGAGCCTCTACCGTTTGAGCTACAAGCCAGCTGGCTCTCAGGGAAGGCTGTCGAGCAAACTCCTCTCTCTGTAAGTGGTCATGGTGCCGCTTCGTGGAACAGGGACCCTCCCCCAGACGGTGTGTGGGGGTTGCAGACGTGAAGGCAGCTGCTAAATGAAGAGATGATTGAGGTCATTTGGCTTGAAACTGGCAGAGTATCTGTCTCCCTCAATAGATTTGTATTGAGCCGTTTCATTTTCTTTCTAAGTACTTGTATGGCCAGTCGTAGAGGAGTATGTCAGACCCTTTGATGGGCTGATCCTCACAACACCCCACACGGGGATGTGCTACTGCCTCATTTCACAAGGCCAGGGGGGAGTAAGTGATTTCCCAAAGTTGCAAAGGGAGCACGTAGCTTCACCAGGAGCTAAACCAGCCCTCTTGAGCCTAGGCCTGTGACTGAACCACTAGACCAGGGGCCTGCAACCTGTGGCACTCGAGCCAAAGACAGCTCAGCATGGAACCAAATCCAGCGCTTTTGTTGTTCCCAAAATACAACAACTTTGTACATTCCAATGAAAAATTAATTTAAAAATGTAAAACCGTGTCATTGCTCATGTCGCTTGAATGCTGCACGAACCTGAATTTGACCAGTTCTGATGTAAACTTCAATGATACGTGCAGCTGCAGAAGTCCCATGAAATAAAGCTTGTAAATAAAGTACAATGTTTCACTGATACTGTTATTACTCACCATGTCAATTACCAATAATATGAAGTTGTATCTTTTCAGCCATGCAAAGGGGCATTCTTCTATGGCTCTTAGTTGTTCTGAATATTGATGTCGTTTGGCTCTTTTGGTTGAAAAGGTTGCTGAGCCCTACCCTAGGCAACCCTCCTTCCCGTCTTTGGGCCAACAATTTGTGTTGAGTTAATTACAAGCTGTTCTCAGAGGGGGAGCCGTGTTAGTCTGTATCTGCAAAAACAATGAGTCGTCCTGGGGCACCTTAAAGACGAATCGATTTATTTGGACATCAGCTTTTGTGGGTTTGACCCACAAAATCTTCTGCCCAAATAAATCTGTTAAGGCACGTCTACACCAGCACTTACCAACCGCCAGTCTGCAGACCAGTGCCGGGCCGCGAACCGCTGGTGGCCGGGCTACGGAAGCTCTGGGGGCCAGGGCCGGGGTGCGCCTCCCAGTGCCTCTCCTCCCACCATAGCTGTTGAGAAAGGCATGTCCTGCTCCGCCTCAGCCAACCAGCGCTGGGCAGGGGCGGGAATCTCCTGCCGGAGCTGCAGTGTCGAACACACATTCTGTATCCGCAGCAAGGAGCCTTGGCAAGAAAACGGATGCCTGTGGATCTGAAGGGCTCTCCAGATACTGCAGGGGAGGTGGTCACAGGACTGCTACTGAAATCGTGAGCATTGACGTCCTCTGCAAATAACCAAGACAACATTTTCATTTGGCTTCTGTTGACAATACCACGCTGGAGGGGAACCTGGACGGCCCTGCCTTGACTATAATAATTACGTCTGCCTTGACCACAGTGCAGATCTCCAACTAGCAAAACGCGGGCCTGTCTCAAGTCCGGTGCACATAAGCACGCAGGCAAGTCTGAGGGGTGAGGTTTGAGAGGCGGGAATGTTTTTTGCACAAGCGTGCACATCCAGCGTGGTACAGTCAGACCACGCCACGGACATCAGGAGGAACTTTGTATTAATACATTTTATTTATGATAAGCAAAAATTCCAGATACAGTCATAAAACTATTAACCACACACATAGTTTTTGCAACATCCTGAGTAGCAGGATGTACCCCATACAGGGGCACTGGGCATTGTAGGTATCTTACACAATACGTAATCAATTGGTAAATATATTAGAATGAGCAAGTCTCGCTTTGCTTAGTAAGAAGAATTGATGGAAGGGAACGAACAGGATTACTCACAGGCCCTGCTCAATGTAACTAGAAGTAACAGACCCTTCACACCAGCTACGGCAGTGCATGTGGCATAATAGCATTACACAGCACAGTAGAAGAGTGTGACTCTGATACCTGGTGCCACGCTGGCTCGTGGCCAAGTGACGGAAGTAAAACCATCTGCTGGAAGCTTCAGAAGCCACTGCCTAGTCACGGATTAGCCTTCACCCCTGAAAGTCAGGGAGCTGTAAGTGGCTGGGAGGAATTAGGATACAGGCTAAATCTTCAGGTGGAACCAAAAATTCTGGGTACAGACAAACCTAAGCTTGGGAGGAGCCTGAAATACAGACCCAAATTTTGATCCTACAGGGCAAACTTGTTCTCTGTGGGGAGTATAAAGGAAAAAAATGGGTCGTCTTCTGATTGCAGTTTGTTTCCCCTTTTAATTTAAATATAAAATATTTCCTCTTTCTCGGCTTCACCTTCATGGCCGACCCTGTTCTCACACTGGTGTCGTTCTGGAGTAACACAGGGTGTGAATCGGGCCCCTAATGTTTGCCTGTCTTCATAATATCCTCGTAGGAAGGAGGCGGTCCAGCCCCCCCGGGGATGGCGTGCGGGGTGGTAGAAGGGCCCAGCTCCGGGTTGGGAGGGCAGGTGTGCGCTCCAGAAAAGGCATGCGGGGAAGCTTCGCCTGGGAAGTCTGGCCTTGCAAAGGGGTGCTGTGTAATTTTCCTAGGTTACTGAGTGGGGGCTGGAGCCGGTTCTGTGATGTATCGTTGTAAGGGAACCCTAATACTCCACCTGGCCCAGGCGGCTGCTGAGCCTCTACCGTTTGAGCTACAAGCCAGCTGGCTCTCAGGGAAGGCTGTCGAGCAAACTCCTCTCTCTGTAAGTGGTCATGGTGCCGCTTCGTGGAACAGGGACCCTCCCCCAGACGGTGTGTGGGGGTTGCAGACGTGAAGGCAGCTGCTAAATGAAGAGATGATTGAGGTCATTTGGCTTGAAACTGGCAGAGTATCTGTCTCCCTCAATAGATTTGTATTGAGCCGTTTCATTTTCTTTCTAAGTACTTGTATGACCAGTTGTAGAGGAGTATGTCAGACCCTTTGATGGGCTGATCCTCACAACACCCCACACGGGGATGTGCTACTGCCTCATTTCACAAGGCCAGGGGGGAGTAAGTGATTTCCCAAAGTTGCAAAGGGAGCACGTAGCTTCACCAGGAGCTAAACCAGCCCTCTTGAGCCTAGGCCTGTGACTGAACCACTAGACCAGGGGCCTGCAACCTGTGGCACTCGAGCCAAAGACAGCTCAGCATGGAACCAAATCCAGCGCTTTTGTTGTTCCCAAAATACAACAACTTTGTACATTCCAATGAAAAATTAATTTAAAAATGTAAAACCGTGTCATTGCTCATGTCGCTTGAATGCTGCACGAACCTGAATTTGACCAGTTCTGATGTAAACTTCAATGATACGTGCAGCTGCAGAAGTCCCATGAAATAAAGCTTGTAAATAAAGTACAATGTTTCATTGATACTGTTATTACTCACCATGTCAATTACCAATAATATGAAGTTGTATCTTTTCAGCCATGCAAAGGGGCATTCTTCTATGGCTCTTAGTTGTTCTGAATATTGATGTCGTTTGGCTCTTTTGGTTGAAAAGGTTGCTGAGCCCTACCCTAGGCAACCCTCCTTCCCGTCTTTGGGCCAACAATTTGTGTTGAGTTAATTACAAGCTGTTCTCAGAGGGGGAGCCGTGTTAGTCTGTATCTGCAAAAACAATGAGTCGTCCTGGGGCACCTTAAAGACGAATCGATTTATTTGGACATCAGCTTTTGTGGGTTTGACCCACAAAATCTTCTGCCCAAATAAATCTGTTAAGGCACGTCTACACCAGCACTTACCAACCGCCAGTCTGCAGACCAGTACCGGGCCGCGAACCGCTGGTGGCCGGGCTGCGGTAGCTCTGGGAGCCAGGGCCGAGGTGCGCCTCCCAGTGCCTCTCCTCCCACCATAGCTGTTGAGAAAGGCATGTCCTGCTCCGCCTCAGCCAACCAGCGCTGGGCAGGGGCGGGAATCTCCTGCCGGAGCTGCAGTGTCGAACATAACTCCTTTCCTTTACAAACGCTGCCTGGGCGTCCACATTCTGTATCCGCAGCAAGGAGCCTTGGCAAGAAAACGGATGCCTGTGGATCTGAAGGGCTCTCCAGATACTGCAGGGGAGGTGGTCACAGGACTGCTACTGAAATCGTGAGCATTGACGTCCTCTGCAAATAACCAAGACAACATTTTCATTTGGCTTCTGTTGACAATACCACGCTGGAGGGGACCCTGGACGGCCCTGCCTTGACTATAATAATAACGTCTGCCTTGACCACAGTGCAGATCTCCAACAGCAAAACGTGGCCCTGTCTCAAGTCCGGTGCACATGAGCACACAGGCAAGTCTGAGGGGTGAGGTTTGAGAGGCGGGAATGTTTTTTGCACAAGCGTGCACATCCAGCGTGGTACAGTCAGACCACGCCACGGACATCAGGAGGAACTTTGTATTAATACATTTTATTTATGATAAGCAAAAATTCCAGATACAGTCATAAAACTATTAACCACACACATAGTTTTTGCAACATCCTGAGTAGCAGGATGTACCCCATACAGGGGCACTGGGCATTGTAGGTATCTTACACAATACGTAATCAATTGGTAAATATATTAGAATGAGCAAGTCTCGCTTTGCTTAGTAAGAAGAATTGATGGAAGGGAACGAACAGGATTACTCACAGGCCCTGCTCAATGTAACTAGAAGTAACAGACCCTTCACACCAGCTACGGCAGTGCATGGCGTCCTGACGCGTGGGACTAAAATGGCGTGGTACAGTCAGACCACGCCACGGACATCAGGAGGAACTTTGTATTAGTACATTTTATTTATGATAAGCAAAAATTCCAGATACAGTCATAAAACTATTAACCACACACATAGTTTTTGCAACATCCTGAGTAGCAGGATGTACCCCATACAGGGGCACTGGGCATTGTAGGTATCTTACACAATACGTAATCAATTGGTAAATATATTAGAATGAGCAAGTCTCGCTTTGCTTAGTAAGAAGAATTGATGGAAGGGAACGAACAGGATTACTCACAGGCCCTGCTCAATGTAACTAGAAGTAACAGACCCTTCACACCAGCTACGGCAGTGCATGGCGTCCTGACGCGTGGGACTAAAATGCTGTAGGTGGCATATGGGTGAAGTGTAAGTGAACTAGGCTTAATTATTGTAAGATAATAAATCTTCTATTACTTGCTTTTGCATTGTTCATGCTTTACTAATTGCTTTAGAATGGATAGTATTTAAGGTTTAAATCACACACATAGTTTTTGCAACATCCCGAGTAGCAGGATGTACCCCATACAGGGGCACTGGGCATTGTAGGTATCTTACACAATACGTAATCAATTGGTAAATATATTAGAATGAGCAAGTCTCGCTTTGCTTAGTAAGAAGAATTGATGGAAGGGAACGAACAGGATTACTCACAGGCCCTGCTCAATGTAACTAGAAGTAACAGACCCTTCACACCAGCTACGGCAGTGCATGGCGTCCTGACGCGTGGGACTAAAATGCTGTAGGTGGCATATGGGTGAAGTGTAAGTGAACTAGGCTTAATTATTGTAAGATAATAAATCTTCTATTACTTGCTTTTGCATTGTTCATGCTTTACTAATTGCTTTAGAATGGATAGTATTTAAGGTTTAAATCATGTAGTAATTGTTTTTAAGGCTTGTGAAACTTAAACAACTGTATTAATTGCTTACAGCTTGCAATCGATAAAGACGTGGTTAATTCTCTCTAGAGTGTCCTGGTTTCCCTCGGATCTAAAATCGAACCACACGACACATGCTCATGCTTCCCCTCCACCACCTTTATAGCAGCTGCATTTTGCATTGTCCATTGCTTTTAAGCCATGCGACGGGTTTCCAGAAGGCAAACAGCCCCTCTCCCACATGTGGCATAATTGCATTACACAGCACAGTAGAAGAGTGTGAGACTGCTACCTGGTGCCACGCTGGCTCGTGGCCAAGTGACAGAAGAGCCACTGCCTAGTCACGGATTAGCCTTCACCCCTGAAAGTCAGGGAGCTGTAAGTGGCTGGGAGGAATTAGGATACAGGCTAAATCTTCAGGTGGAACCAAAAATTCTGGGTACAGACAAACCTAAGCTTGGGAGGAGCCTGAAATACAGACCCAAATTTTGATCCTACAGGGCAAACTTGTTCTCTGTGGGGAGTATAAAGGAAAAAAATGGGTCGTCTTCTGATTGCAGTTTGTTTCCCCTTTTAATTTAAATATAAAATATTTCCTCTTTCTCGGCTTCACCTTCATGGCCGACCCTGTTCTCACACTGGTGTCGTTCTGGAGTAACACAGGGTGTGAATCGGGCCCCTAATGTTTGCCTGTCTTCATAATATCCTCGTAGGAAGGAGGCGGTCCAGCCCCCCCGGGGATGGCGTGCGGGGTGGTAGAAGGGCCCAGCTCCGGGTTGGGAGGGCAGGTGTGCACTCCAGAAAAGGCACGCGGGGAAGCTTCACCTAGTGGGAAGAGACAAATGGAGCTCGTCTGGGTAACCATACACCAGCTTTGAGTGACACCGCACACGAGGGACCAAGGTGGCTGTGGGGACGGTTATTTTGAAATAATGTAGACCCTTCGGTACGTCTACACAGCAACGTTATTTCGAAATAACTTAGTCCACGTCTACATAGCAGGCAGTTGTTTGGACGTAATGTTGAAATACCGTTCTGTCAAGCTGGAGGCAGGGCCAGATTAAGGGGGGTGCCTGATGGCAGCTGTAAGGTGCGCAGCGCGCCCAGGGGTGGGGCCGCGCATGTGCCGTGTGCCCGCTGCCCGGGGCGCAGGAATGGCTCAAGCCGGGGCTGGCTGGAGGATGTCTTACTCTGACTCCTGTAATCCTCATTGTACGAGGAGGAAGGGAAGTCGGAGGAAGAGCGCTCTGTTTCGAAATAAGTGCTGAGTAGACGCTCCCTATTTCGAAATAAGCTACGCAACTGACGTAGCTCAGGGCTGGCCCACAACATTTTAGCCCGAGGCGGGGAGCTCAAATGATGCCCCCTTGCTTGGGCCAAAACTTTGAAAAGTCTCCATTCTCTGGGTCCTAGTGGCGCCCTTCTCCCCCACCAGTCTGGCACCTGACGCGGCCGCCTCAGTTCGCCTCATGGTAAGGCCAGCCCTGACCTAGCTCAATTTGCCTAGCTTATTTCAAGCTAAGCCCTGCTCTGTAGATTCACCCTAGGAGCCTAGCTTTGGGTGCTTCACGGGAGAGGCTGGCACCAATTAACCCAGTGCCCGTAGTCCATTGCAGCAACGTTTCAATGAATATGAAACCTAATAACTGTTTCAAATGCCCCACGAATGGACAGCTCTCCAGGAAGGAAGCCCAGAGCCAAAACTCTCAGTGAACGACGGTCCTGTCACGGAGGTTTGGGCTGGACCCTGCAGGAGCCGGCTTAGGGAGGGGCAAAGCCCCAGATGCCAACTACCCACCAAGGGAATCGGCGTCGCTGAGCGCAAACACGGCGAGCGTGCGCCGGCAGGGGAAGCTGCTCCGGCGTTTCAGCCAGCACTGCATGCAGAAGAGGAACCCGCAGGACAGGGTCATGGCCAGAAGGAGCAACGCCAGTAACCTGAGGCACAGACACAGACAGGGAACAATCAACGGCAGGTGGCAACTGCAAATGGATTCAGACGTGAGGGGCAGGAGGAAAGGTTTGGGGCGACTGGGAAGGTTCGAGCTGATGAAAAGAAGAGACCTGCTAACTAAAAGAAGGCAAAGTTGGTTCAATTATGGAAATTCTCTTGAACATTTTTGCACAAAAAAAGTCAAAAAAAATTTTTTTTGCAAACCTTTTTTTTTGGGGGAAGGGCAGTTTTTGGCCCGGCATTGTACAGACTGTTACAGCCAATGGCCAAACTCCTCCAACTTCCCTTGGACTCTGAATCAGGTCCTTCCAGCTGTCTGGCTTTTTCTGAAGATTCAAAATTGCTGCAAAGCCCTTTTCATGAAACACGTTGGCTTTTTCCATTAAAATGATCCGTTGATCAGCTGTGCACAGCAAAGGAAATGTGGACAAAGGATTCGGTCTGGGCACAACACAAAATAGCAGCTGTACACACAGAAAATTCAAGTGAAGGGTTCAGAAAAATGTTATCTTGATACCAATAGCTCCCTCCATAGCTATCAGAGCTGGGCAAAATTTTCCAATCAAATAGTTTATCTGCTGAAAAAATGCAGTTTGGGGTCAGATTAGGCAAATATGATCAGTCAAATAAAAATAAAAAAAACAATCAAAATGGAAGCTAGCAAGTTTTTTGTTTCAAATGGCATCTTACTAAGAAATCTGGTTGCAATTGTTTAATTTTTTAAAGGATGAAAAAAAAAACATCTTACTAAGAAATCTGGTTGCAATTATTTAATTTTTTAAAGGATGAAAAAACCCCCAAATATAAGAACCCTCAAATCCCAAAACATTACGGTTTTGAGTCCGCACCAACATCATTTATTTTGGATTTGGGGGTTTGGTCCATCCTGCCTGTCAATCACAATATACATTTTGCCAGCTCTTTCTTTGGGAAGGGTTCAGTACTTACCCGATATACCAGGCACTGAGGTGCTCCTCATTGTAATTAACACATCTAGCAATTAAACAAACAGACAACATGTTGGGACAATGCTGGCTCAGGTATATGCAGTCAGTTGAAGTGTTATCCAGGGGTGCAGGAAGAATCAGCTGTATTAATGACGTTATGGTAGCACGTCATTTAATTAATAGGATGTGCCTAAATGCAAATAGTGCATAACTATTTTCCATTAAATATACTGTACATGCTATTCATTCTCTGTTAGCAAAACAACACAATTATCCATTGCTTTCTTGTACATGGCATTTTTCTTTTTCTGAAGAAAAATTAAGCTCAAACAGCCACAGCTAGTCTTTTTATATTAACGGAATGAACATGCTACTCTTGTTTAGAGCAACGACTTGGCATATTCCTTCCTTTGCATTGCCTGGCAAATTCTGAAGACAAAATAAAAATCCATGCAAATGTGAAGACTACTTACGGTTCATCCAGTTCACATTTCGGATCACAGTCTGCTAACTGAAACACATATGTCAACCGATCAGGACAAGTACAATATCTTATTAAAAGACCTTTTTTTATTTAAACTGAGAAACAGCTATAGACAAATTCAGGGCCAGATTCTGTGACTATTATTTGTGTGAACAGTCCCATTGCATGTGTGTGCCTGAGTGCAGAAGACTAACAGCCTTGATAGAGGTTGCTGACTTGGGCCCATAGTTTTTTCTGTTAATGACCTGATTCAACTGCTCTGGAAACCACTGAAAGTCTTTCACGCAATATGATCAGATCCTTCGATTTCTAAGAAAAGCTGGCAGACAGACATACTATTAAGATGTTTGGCATTAACGGGGGGAAGCACGTTTTTGTGAAGTGACATGTCGAAGGCCAAGAGCCAAGAGATACAAACAAGTGTAAACAGAAATGTTTACAGAACTGGCGTTGATTTGTTACTCACAATTTGTTACTGAACAATTTCACTGAATAACTGCGGGGTTTGTAGCTCCTTTGCAAACCGTTCATTGTGAATATTCAATATTTGTAATTTGAGTTGCTTTGACTAGACACAGAGAACATAACATAAGACCATAACAGCGCCAGACTAGGTCAGACCAAAGGTCTATCTAGCCCAGTGGCCAGTGCCCCAGAGGGAGTAGCGCAGGAAATCCTCCGGTGATTCCGTCCTCTGTCACCCATTCTCAGCCCCTGACAAACCGAGGCTGGGGACACCATTCCTGCCCAGCCTGGCTAATAGCCATTGATGGACTTCACCTCCAAGAACGTATCTAGTTCTAGAGGGCATGGAATGCTACTGTTACATGATGGGCAGAACGTCCAATTAGGATCAGGTCTCTGGTGTGAATCCGAAAGTTGCTTAGGGGAAATATTTTATAACAACCACTTAAACATGGCAAACGTTCCTCCCACTAACTGCATTTCCTAGCTTGTGTGTGGAAAGCGAACAAACTAATTGATAAGCACAGGCTGAATCACATCCCAGCTCTGTCGCAGAAAACTTTAAATCAAACATCAAATGGCAGTAATATCCTGTGACAGGATAAATAAAATGTGACAAATTAGATTTAGGTCTTAGATAAAAAGTTAGACATAATTTGCAGATAATTACTATATGTCATTTCTTTTTTGCAAGTGTCTGACAGGCATGTAGATGTGTCCTTTGCGTGAAAACTAAAAAGCTCTTTTGCATGTAAGACAGATTCAGACAGATCACATCACATTTCTAATGAGCAGGGATTAGTTTAAGTACTATGCAACATCCCCCTCAGCAAAAATCCTCTTACAAGTCTATCTAAAGGGCCCCATCCTGTCTGCACTGCCATTAGCCTCACTGGGAGCAAGATCAGTGCCCAGAGATAACGGAAGTCCCTGTGTGTAATGAATCCTTCAAATAAAATATTATCTGTGACATTTCATGGGTGATTTAAAATGAAACGAGGAACGGAAAGAGACTGAGAATTCAAGATGAACTTTTCCAGACGTACCCTTTTAAAATTGTGTTCATCTGCTAAGTCACACGCCCCTGGTAAAATTGTGTTCATCTGCTAAGTCACACACCCCTGGTGCCGCAGCATTTTTAAATTGCTTGCCTCACTTCTGCCAATTAGGAGAGCAAGTCAAAGAAACTGAGACAGTTTATTCCCAGGATCATGTGTATCTATGATTGCTTTATTAGGGCTGAATTATCTGATGTATCCATCACATTCTTTAAACGTCCCCATGTGAAGGCATCATCCCTTATCTTACGGATACACAAATACCTGAATGACACTGTAGATAGATAGATAAATTGTCTTAAATGAAATCCAAATAATTCATCTGAGACATGCGCTTTCTAATTTCAAATATGCTGAGTACAAGGATTCTTATACTAGAAGGCAATATCGATACCTGAGCTGGAATTGATTGTAACTATAAAAGTCCAACTACTCAGCGGTCTTCACAAATAACTTTAACACATTATCCCAAGAATAAAACCTTGCCCAACAGAGCTCTATAACCAATCAACGTCTGACCCCAGAAAAGGTTTTGTTACCTGGAACAAAGTCAGACATAGGCCTCCGATTTCGGAGATCAGCCAGGTGAGATGCAGAACTTTGGCTCTCCACATTGCTAACGAGAGAAGCCCTTGTAAGGTTCTGTTTATAGCTGCATCTCTCCCCTTATGATCTGGAGCTTTTACACATCCCTGTAAATTCTCCCTTGAGCCAGGGAATACATTATCCTTGTGACTCGGGAGCAAGAGCCAGGGAATGAATGCGGCTCTGCATGAACACACTCAAATAGCCAGGAGTCCTAATGAATAGTCGTTTGAGGTCAGCACCTCGCAAATGTTCAGATCCTTTTGTAGCTTTCAATAGCTCCTGTTGCTAGTGCCTGGTTCCATATTAACACAACATTGTACATGTACCTGCTGCAAATAGAGGACTTGTCCTGCAATAACTTCAATGGGAGAGGAAGAGTAAGAACACCCGGCTTACAACAGCTAGGGTGGGGGGGTCATGGTTGCCTGACCCACACAAATAGTTCTGTCAGTTTCAGTGCATAAGCACAATGCAATGAGTAGGATATGGCATGGAGGGGTTATTTTTGGATACATCTTCCTCTTTTGTTCGTACTCTTTGGATCCTCGTACTATTATTTGCACCTGATCTCAGAAGGAGCATGAATTTATTGGCCGTATGATAATCCCTAAACCTTAATTCAGCCGTGAGACTGATCTCAGAAGGAGCATGAATTTATTGGCCGTATGATAATCACTAAACCTTAATTTGACCGTGAGCGCTAGAGGGAAAGCATTTCTTTTAGGGCTGCATCGAAAGCTCACTGCAATGAAGGGAAAGATGCCCACTGAGTTTGAAGGGCTTTGGCTGATGCCGTTAATCCCTTAATTTCTGACAGTGCAAGAATGGCTGAGAATGATTTCTTGAACTACAGCAGTTGGCATCCCTTTCTCCGGGTGGATTGTAGCATAATTCCCTGTAGGAATAGGGCATCCAGTTTGGATAAAAGGATAAGCCAACCCAAATCCGTGCCCAGCCCTCAAAACAAACCCAAACCTTGAGAGTCAAAAGTTTGGTTGATTGTTCTTCACTGTCGTGTTCCTCCCTGGCATTCTCCTGATCTGGTTTGAATGTGGCAGTGCCACATTAGATCGCAGGACAAAGGATGTTTTTGTGCTGTCTCCAGGCAGAGCAGAAATGGGAATCACGCCCATTTTCCGATCAAATCTTCCATTTTGTTAACAGATTGCTCATTACTCAGACCAATATCCCCCTTTGCATTCCTCACTGTAATTCTGTGTGTGTCTGGGCAATCTGAAATCTTTGCACCACAGTGGTTTAGAATTTGCAAAGCATCCTCAGCAGGCACTTCAGTGAATACGCTTAATCAGTTCATTCTGCAGTCAGGGTAGGAACTCTCTTGGCACGAGGGACATCATGCAGTGCATACAGCCTTTCAAAAGTTGTCAGGCATTTAGCGATATTGTCTGCCTCTGGCTACGTCTACACTGGCATGATTTTCCGCAAATGCTTTCCGTTAAAAGCACTTTCGGAACAGAGCATCTAGATTGGCACGGGCGCTTTTCCACAAAACCCCTTTTTGTGGAAAAGCATCCGTGGCCAATCTAGACGCGCTTTTGCACAAAAAAAACCCCGATCGCCACTTTTGCCATTGGGGCTTTTTTTGCAGAAAACAAATCTGAGCTGTGTACACTGGCCCTTTTGCACAAAAGTTTTGCGCAAAAGGGACTTTTGCTCGAACGGGAGCAGCATAGTATTTCCGCAAGAAGCCCTGATTTCTTACAGTAGGAAGTCAGTGCTTTTGCAGAAATTCAAGCGGCCAGTGTAGACAGCTGGCAAGTATTTCCGCAAAAGCGGCCGATTTTCCGGAAAAACTGGCCAGTCTAGACACAGCCTCTCTGTGTGCAGGAGTAAATGGTCCCAAGTGAGGATTTTTGGAGTGATGGGAATCGCTGGGGTTGGTGGGTTCTGGTTCTGCTTCTCTAGCAGGCCCAGTTGGCGTTTTCGCTCTCTCTCCTCCAACTTCTCCTTTATCTTCCCCTCTTTCAGTTGCAACCGTCTCTGACGCGCTCTCTCCTGTTCTGCAACCCGCAGTCTAAAAAACTCCAGCTTGGCAGTAGCTTTGCCGCTTTCCCTTTCTTCCTGCTTTCCGGTCCCTGCTTCCCTCCCCCGAGGTCAGCAAATGGAAGATACCCAACTGGTCGCCACCTCCTGGTTGCCATTGACAACCACACTCACAGTCTGTTCCCCAGAGACAGCAGCAAGGAAAGTAACCAATACCCAGGCGGGTGTCAAACGACTATCGACAGCCTTTGTCCATCGAGAGATCCACCATGCAGTGACTCAGCTGCTCAAGGACACCAGGGCTATGTCTACACTCGCAGCTTCTTGCGTGAGTAATATGCAAATGAGGCTAAGCGTGGAATATTGCCGAGCCTCATTTGCATACCTAATGAGCCACCATTTTTTTCAGAAGAGGCTCTTGCGCAAGAAGGAGTGTCTACACTGCCCCTTCTTGTGCAAGAAAAGCCCTCTTGTGCAATGCCGTTCTTCCTGAAAAGTAACAGGTGTCACGGCGTTGCGTGAGAGGGTTTTTCTTGCACGAGAAGGGGCAGTGTAGACGCTCCTTCTTGCGCAAGAGCCTCTTCTGAAAAAAATGGTGGCTCACTAGGTATGCAAATGAGGCTCGGCGATATTCCACGCTTAGCCTCATTTGCATATTACTCACGCAAGAAGCTGCGAGTGTAGACATAGCCCTGGTGTCCTTGAGCAGCTGAGTCACTGCATGGTGGATCTCTCGATGGACAAAGGCTGTCGATAGTCGTTTGACACCCGCCTGGGTATTGGTTACTTTCCTTGCTGCTGTCTCTGGGGACCTAATACCTGGACGATTCCCCACCTTGCAGCATGTTCAGACCCAACCAAACATCACAGCCTCAGAACTTCCTATGCCCTCAAGATTGGCACACTTGGAACAAGTGACTTCCTGCCAACCAGAACCTTTCCCTTGATACCACACATGGCATGCTTGGCATGCAATACCCCAATTAGTTATAAAAGAGGAATAGGGGGGCACAGGACACTCCCCTTAGATGCAGACTGTCACAGACAGCAAGTGCCTGGAGTCTGCAAGTCCCATGTTCTCCAGATGCTTCTCTGGCCTGGACAAATTCAGTTTGTTCTGCTGGGATCCGCTCCGAAGGGCGCTGCGAAGATCATTTTCCTTGCCTGTCCCTTTGACCAGGTCTGGGCATCCCTCTTCTCTCTCCCCCTTTGGTATCACAGCAGACACTAGCTGCTTTGGCTGTACTGTCGAGACCCTCCACTGCCTAGCCCCATCCAACCCCGCATTTCTCATTCAGTATCGGGAGGTCGACTCTCACCTCTGACCAGCCCATGATCCCAGCCTCTGTTGCCCTCTGGTTTAATTTTCAAATGTTTTCTCCCATGCTACCCCTCCTGCTTGGGAGGAGACCCCAGAAACACCCCTCAAAGCCACCTCTTTATCCTCTTTCAGAGCACTCCCTAAACTTCACTTTTCACGGGTTGCCCACAGAAAGCTTGACCGTGGTTACACGATGGATGTGCTGAGACCAGAGCCCATCATAGTGGCCAATACTGGTTCATTGTTTCCTTGTGCCTCTCCAGCTGTCTGTATCCATCTGTCATCTGCCTTATACTCATGGGCTATTGTCTACACTGGCGGCTTCTTGCGCAAGAACATCTTGCACAAGGGATCTTGTGCAAGAAGTCTTGCACAAGAAAATGTCCACACTGCCATGTGCGAGATGTGCTTTTGCGCAAGAGCATCCATGGCCGGGTAGACGCTCTCTTGCGCAAGAAAGCTCTGATTGCCATTTTAACCATAGGGCTTTCTTGCGCAAGAAATCGTTGCCGAGCGTCCACACTTTCCTCTTGTGCAAGAGAGCTGACACCTGTTAGAAAAGAGTGTAGCTCTTGCGCAAGAAGCCCTCTCTTACCACGCCGTACTGTAAATTTCCTTGCACAAGAGCGGGCGGGCAGTGTGGATGCTCAGCGGATTCTTGCGCAAGAACAGCCGTTGCACAAGAACCCACCAGTGTAGACATGGCCCTGCTGTTTGGGAGGGGACCATCTTTTTGGTGTGTGTTTGTGCAGCACCTAATACAGGGGACTCCTGATCCAGGACTAGACTCCTTGCTGCTGAATAAGAATAAGAATACAATTAGGCACAGTATATTATGTCTAAAACTGTGTGTACAAATGCACCAATTTTTCAATTAATGTGCATCACAAAGGATGTCCTACTAATGCGAGCAAAAGGTGTCTGGAAAGCAGTGCTACTCTGGCTTTGTCGGAGACAGGCAAACATTGCTTTACTACCCAGGTGAGAGGCATAGAATTGTTATTGCTAACACCGAGCTGGAAAACGTGCTGCGCTTTACTTTGCTTGCAACAACAACCCACTCTGTTCGACATCGATTACGAGATTGTCACGGAGGCCTCAGCCTGGGACCGAAACGCTCCATTAATTTTAGCCCTTGCAGATTTAACACCAGGGTGTCGCTGGGAATGAGTTTTGCCATAATTTGAAGTTAAACATTATGCCGTCATTGGCCATAATGCTTGACAAAGCGACGGGAGCAGTCAGGTGTCCCGTGCTGGGTTTGATTTTTCTCTGAGCAGATGAGGTGTGCAGTTTAAATAACAATGAGCACGCAAATCAATCACATTCTGTTAATTATTGATAAAGCTTCCTCTGGGCCTGGTCTGGATTCAGTGTCCTCCAAGCTCGGGCTGTTTGGATCTGGATTTGGTTGGAGCACGACTCAGTTAAGGGCAAGCTTCTGCCCTGTTCAGGCAGGGATGCAGGGATGCAGAGGAGCCGGGTTTGGAAGGTGCCCTGGGGAGGAATTCTAGCTGGTTGAACCAAAGTCCCTGCTGTGGAGTCCGGGGGATGTGATCTGAACAGGGGTAGCTCTCACACGCTGGACAGCCCATCTGCACCATGCCATAGAAAAGGTGGAACAAACCAGTGCTATTCGCTCGACTGTTTCTGTCCAGTTTGGTTCCCAGTATTGTTGTTCTCCCATCCCTTAGCTTTTTGGTGAAAAAAAATCAACCTAACTGTGTAAAAACATGTCTTCATTCTCCCATCCCTTAGCTTTTTG